TGGCAATTCAGTAAATAATTCAACATTTCTAATTAAATTTGGTTTATATTACTTATGAAGGGTGCCACAACATTCGGTTAGCGCTAAATTCTGGTATAACTTAAAATGTACGTAAAGTCTAGCACACCCGTATATTTTTTTACACTTTAAACATTTTTTAATGTTGTTCACAATAAACAAATATTTAAGGTCAAATAACATTTATATTACAAAAGTTTGAAATCTACAACCTTTCACTATTTAACATAAGTTGAATACTCAAATGGAAATCATATGTTATATAAATAGCAGTTAGCATATATTCCAGTTATTTCGATTTATTTAAATTTTAAAAACAAGAGTTAATATGGCGGACCTGCAGATGGTTAACTACCAGCTGCTAAACAATATTAGGTAAATACACTGCATAAAGATCAGCAGTATACTTTAAGGTTGATATGGATTACTTACTTTATAACCTATTCCCAGAACGCAACAACTACCATTTTCTTATGCGGTTGTTCCACGGCATTGTTCTGTTCATTCATTAGAAGCTTAGAAAGGACAAATTTGTATAAATAAATTTACTGGGATTTGTTTGGATAACTCAAATTACTTTAGCTAGCTGTATATAAATAAATGATAAATAGTTATAAAATTGTCGGCAATTATTTGCGTTTTTATTTTATTATACTAAACCAAGCTTGTACATTTTTTTAGTTTTATCATCTCCGGCAGTAACTTCTTCGAGATTTATTTATGAGTGCTATCATATAGTTTTGTCTTAATTTTAAGTGGTTGCGTTTATATTGATCGCAACGGACTACTTAAGACTCGAATATATTATTCTATTGTTTTTATTCGTTTATAGCACTAAATTGGCAGCAAGAAGCTGGAAATAATAATTTTTTTACTTGGTTCTAATTTAACTACTGCCTAGTACTCACATCGACGAAAACCCCGAGCTAGCCATAGGAGTGAGCGAGAGGCAAACAGTCGGCTAAAGCTTTTCGTCTGGTCTGATTTTCAGCGCGGTACTCAGATAAGTTAAGAAAATATCAGAAAAAATACCAGATTTCGCGAGTGAATTTTCGATGAACGCCGTTAGCCGCGGCCCAAAGAATAAGAAATTTAATCTTTGGCGGTGGGGAACTTAAAAATTAAAAATGGAAGAAAAACACAAAAAACGGAAAGAAAAAATAACGCCCAATCCAAGCTGTTGCCCATTTTTGTCGGACTTGACCGACAGAAAGCAATACCACAACAAGGCAAATCACTTGCGAATTACCACTAGCGAATCCCAGTGGGAGGGAACATGGGACATCGCTCGATCTCCGACGAGCTCTCCATTGAGGAGTCCACCTCCACCAGCTACTTGGCAGCTAAAGCGGAGATGGAGGACTCGCCGGCTTCTTTAGGGAGGAGGAAATAAGGTCGCCCACTATGGGACATCTGGAGGAGCCATCACCAGCCATTACCAGGATGCTGGGCGACTTCATGCGGCTCCCACTTCCTCAAGGTCCAACATGCCATTGGGACTTGGAGCTGGATTACAGATGGCGCCGGAAAAACGTCGAAGCATCCGTGGGACGAGAAGGAAGCCATAAACTTATAATTTACACAAAAAAAAAATCGAACATTCCATTTAATTTTATTTTAATTTATTTGTGCACCAGCAGACTTTTCTTTTTTAAATTGCTCCAGTTGATTTGTTTTCCGTTTGGCAACAACAAGCCGCTTGACGGTAAGACCATGCCACCTGCATTGCAGGTGAACTTTAAAAACTTCGGTCACACTACAAAGAATAAGATTCTTCTACTAGTGAAACTCGTAGCCGATCTGAGTTCTAGGCTATAAGAATTACACGTGCTAGGAAGAGATGGTAAGAAGTCATTACAACTCGCTTCAATTCAGTATTCGTTTCGGTATTTTTTTGGGAAGGAAAAGAATTTGAACTGCTATGGCGCAGCTATCAGGAAATTGTTGTTGGTGCTGGCCCAAGAAGCCTTCCAACGCCTCGAAACCCAGCAATCGATCTTATCTTGAAAATAAATATTTCTATGCTCTTTTTTAAGGAAATGAGCCACATCCAGCTTGTGTTCTTCTTGAAAAAACCTAGCACCTGTTGCACCAAAATTTTTGTTATTCGTCTAAAGTAGAAGCCCTGTAAAGTCGCATTCACCTCCCAAAATTGTTGCTTTAAAAATGGATAAAGATAAAGGACCGTATACGAGGGAGGTGTTATAAATGCCCAAACGGTTCTAACTTGTGAAAATTCTCGTGCCGTCACTGTTGGCCCACAGTAGTCCCTATTAATTTCACTACGCTTGCCTGAATAGAAATCTCATCCTTGATCAATTTGCTAATAGCAATGAAATAATCATTTGGCGCTGAAAACATTCCAAATGCTACCATTGCCGGATGCTGCGTTACATCCTGCAGCATCAGCGGAATAACCAATCCGCCTCTCACTCCGTCAAAGCCAATGTGGGAATATTGGGAATCGTGGAAAGACTCTAGATGGCGAGCAGAAGGTGACAAAGAATTCGCGGGACGAGAATGAAGCTTTAAGCTACCAATTTACATAAATGAAGACCTCCGTTGAACATTCGATTTATTTTTATTTAAACTTCCTTGTGCTTCCTGTCAACAAGCCCAGCTGCTTGACAGTAAGACCATGCTACTCGCCGACAATACCATCGTGGCAAGCTTAGTGCCGAAAGTCGGTTCTCGCTGTACTTCCATCTTGGTGGCAAGCGCGGTGCCAGTCCAGTGGCTGGTCTTCCTTCTAGGATAAGATTAGGATGGGAGGAAACTATCCTCCGTTGCTATCGGTCCTTAAGGCACGAAAACCCAATTTCTATACCGAAGTTTCGGCATTGCAGTAGTTGCAGTGAGTATGACAGAAAGACGACAAACACGCTGTTCTTATCTTTTATACCTGCGCGCCACGCTCACATCTGGCGACCATGCGTCGATCCTTAATTTAAGACCCTATGTAAATCCCTTCGCAGTTTAGCTACCTAAGTCCATACAATTGATATAAATAAACAGTTTCAGTCTAGAACTCAACGAATGTAGATGTCTTGTCATCAAGACATTTACAAAACCTTTTAGGGACAACTTTTTTTTAAAAGAATTTTGTTTAAAAAAGGTTTCTAATAACCGATGAAATCTATTTCAGCAAATGAACATATACGAATTACAAATACTAATTTTTTACAAAACTGTCAGTATATGTATTTTTTATTATTATTGTTTGTTTAAATATTATATGTTCATTTATTAAATAGATTTTTTCGACATTTTCAAAAATTTTTAAAAAAAGTTTGATAACATTGAAACATTCACATAACATTGAAAATGTTATATTTTTTTTTTTAACAATTTCGTGACTGTAAGGCGTCTGTTAATTTCGTAGATAGTCGAAAAAACTCGTTATTTTCAAAGTTTTTTTTTAGCTCACAATATACTAAAGACTAAATTGAGTCTACTCATCAATTCGACTAAACTCGAGATATGATTATAAGCTCAGAGAAAACATAAATATAGCTTTAAAAAAATCGTAAATCAAACCTATCCTTAAACATTTTTTTAACAACTGTCCTCATCCTTCTTGGATCATTTTTAAAATATTATTTTGTAAAATGAAGTAATCAAAACAAAATTTCACTTACACTCTTACGCAATCTTCAGAAGGACACGGCTAGTCCCGACAAAGTACTCTACAAGTAAGATAAGAAGATAATGGATAATGGAAGGACACTGGTGTCCTGTGGTATCCAACAGTGTGACCACTAAATTTCTAGCCCGTTTCCTTACTTCTGAATTAAGATTCTACACTATTTTCCGTCATCGCAACTTTCTACCCGATTTATGGCCATAGCTGACTGTTTGATCCAATTTAAGGCCACTGGGAACGCTCCATGTGCTCCTACCACAACGTTAACCACCTATAAAATCCGTCGTGATCATTTCAATTCCTTGTGACATATGCTTCGTTTGCGTTGTGGCTGCAGGCAAGAGAGCCGCAGACACCAAATCCATACTAAAACCCAAGGATTACCGCGCAGCTCATGGAACAAATCCATCAGGGCTCCTCCTAAATACCTCAAGCTACAGTAACTCCGGCTCGAAATTCCACGTCTTATGCAGTCGGTTCCCTCCTATCGACACAGAGGTTTTCTCGGGCGATTATTTTCGCTGGCCGACTACTCAGGACCTTTTTACGGCGATGTACATAGAAAATCCGGATCACCACTCTCACCAATGATGGCTTTCGGAAAAAACCACGAAAAACCTAACGGAGCGTTTCGAAAATAAGCAATTGAAGGTGAACAGTCACCTGAAATTGCCAAGATAGGCATCACACGTTGTTGCATCGAAACAGCGGTTCTGCCACTACGCCGATTCCATCCGACCCTTCAAGGCCTCAATACCACACACAATTTCGTTCTATTCAGCGCAAGTTCCCAGATCACATGATCTTTCCATGTTATCCGATCTCCTACGAATAATCCATCCGAATATTGGGTTTCATATCCCGCCTTGGACGGCAGACGTACTCGATGTATTAAGTCCTACCAATGCCGAGTCTGCCGAAAGTTCCATTGATCAAATTGATCATAGAACCATTTGTAATCTCTAAAATGCCAACTGAATCTTTTAACTATAACGCATGTTTATGTTACAAAGGCTGTGTATTGTACAGAATCATGGTGTCTAAACATGTCAAATAATTACCACCACAAAGTCGGCAATTGTCAGAAGCCGTTTTTGAGTTTAACTCTCTATAGTAGACTCAAATTCAATTTCAACCATTTTTCTTTTTCACACGTAATATAAAACTAGCACTAAACAGATGGGTCGAATAATGATACACTTTTCATGCTCATTGTTTGTTTCCTTTTCTACAAAACTTGCTCTATACGCTGAGTATTCATATTACACATATTATTTGGTATTCCAGATGCCACTCAAGTATTTACAGATTTAGTTTTTGTGATTTTAAGCTTATCAAATGAAAGTAAAACATTAAAACCTTTATTGAGAATTTGTCTTCCATTATTTCACCATTTTGCATTGCTTATCGTCTACAAAATTAAACAAAATTTCATGGACACTTTCATCTACAACAACAGTGCCTCAGATTAGCGATACCAAATACACTCGATACCAAATACCCTTTAATATGACAATATTATTGTCGAGAGCGAAACTGAATTGGTTTTACAGCAGCCCACACTACCAAATTGAAGGCACAGACGGATAGCGGTAAACTACGTTTTTGAAATAAACTTTATTTCAATTTCAGCTTCCGAATCAATGTGTATTACATTTGGCGTTGCGGAGCACGCTTAAAAACTTTGTCTTTTTTTCTCTTCTTTTGCTTCTCCCGGTTCTAGGGATGGTTCTTAAAAAGATAAATGAGGATAAATGAATTATCGAGTGCTTATACATAACATAAGAAAATAAAAAGTTACCATCTTCTAAGCCGACATCTAATACCGCAATCATGGTGGCTGGTCGATCGAGGACCCCATGCTGCGTTTTAATAGTGGCTCGACGAACTTGTTCGTCCTTGGCGGGGATAGTGTTGGTCACGCGGCCCTTAAGCCATACATTTCTAGGTAAGTTTTCGTCGACGATAATGACTACGCTTCCGACTGATATAGGGGGACATCTTTCGAACCATTTTGTTCGTCTAGTAAGTACCGGTGTAAGCTCCTTCACCCAGCGTTGCCAAAAGTGATCTCCAAAAAGTTTTATATCGTTCCAATGACGTCTTAAATTCATCTTCTTTTCCTTGATTGGCTTGTACCCATTCGATGAACCCATTAGCAGGTGGTTTGGAGTCAGCGCGGAGTCGTCCTCGGAGTCCAGGCTAACGAAAGTTAACGGACGTGAGTTTATGATTAACCGTGCTTCCATTAGAGCACACCTCAGGCTTTCGTCGTTGAATGAATAATTCGGGCAGATGCTTTTTAGGACTGTTTTGGTTGTGCGGACTAATCTTTTCCAAGCACCGCCCATGTCAGGGGCTCCTGGAGGGTTAAATTGCCATTTAATGCCGTCGAACTTGATTGCAATTTTATCGAAGTCGATCTTGATCAGCTCCTCTCGTAACGTCTTCTCCGTGGCCTTGAAATTAGTACCATTATCGGAATAAATTTCTCTTGGTGTCCCACGAAATTCGTGAAACTTTTTTTATACAACTGGCTTTTCTTACGGATTTGTGCAGTACTCTTAGGCGCAGAATATAAAATTTGGATTTTATATCATTCGGTTTCGTGAGCGAGGTAATGATATTTTTCGTGATAGAACCGGACTAATAAGAATGTTACTCGGCTCTCTGGTGGCAATATTATAGCGTCCATGGTATATCCGACTGCGTTCACTCGACCTTTAGTGCGAACGATTCCGTTATCGTCCATCACCACCATTTACTTATCAATGAATGATTTCATCCGTGAACTCGAGCCTCTGTGCTTCTTTGTATAGTAGGGTCTGCGCTTCTGTGACGTGAAATTCGGTCACTGCTGACGGCATGTCTGTCCATTGGCATTTAGTTTGAAGTCGCTGGATATATAGAGATATGTTTGTGACGGCTCTGTATAGGCGCCGCCAATCGGGGTCGAAAATCGACATGAGAACCTGACGGACTTTTTGTCGCGCACGTAGTGGCCTATGAATGGTGCACAACTGATACCAAGGGTCATGGCACGCATGACGTAAGTGTTTATCTTATTTCGGTTGACATCATACCAAAGAAAGCGCTGAGAATGCATGTCTTCGTGGCTTATGTTGATCCTGTGAAACATTTCGGCGATGTCGCCGCTTACGGCGACTGTTCCGACTCTGAAGGCTGGGAGAACGTTGATGAGTGAGTTTAAGCAGTCCGGCCCGCTTAACAGAAAGTCGTTGAGGCATACTACGTTTGTTTCTACTACTGCATCCCAAACCAGCCTTATCTTTCCAGGCTTATTCGGATTTAGGACTATAAATTTGGGAAAGTACCAAGAGCGAGTTTCTTCTTTCTTCGCCTCCTCGTCAGATAGTTGCTTGGGGTATCCTTTGGCAAAAAGATTTTTGATTTGGTCGTCGATTTTTGTAAACAGATCCGGTTCGCTCAGAATTCTGGTTCTCATGCATTGTAGGCGCTTTAGAGCTCTAGTGCGACTCTCGGGAAGTTTTTGAAGATCATTCCGCCGAAGAAGACCAACTTCGTATTTGCCACATTTGATTTGGCAAGTCTGCTCTAGGACTTCGACTGCTCGTTTGTCCTCGCTTGAAAGCAGTTTTTTAGGCGAAATCGACTCTAGGTTGAATTGTTCTTTGACTTCATCGTGAAGCTCTCGCCAGTTGCAATCGCAGTGGTGCATAGTTACGTGACGGTTTAAGTTGGCTGATCCCTGGATAGTCCATCCTAACATGCACTTTGACGCTATTGGGTCGTTCCATTTGCCTTCATCCATACCGACGGTTTGCTTTGGGAGTGCAATGTTTTTGACAGTCTGAACGTTGTTGTAACTGAGTAGATCTGAGGGTTGTTATTATCCTATTTATTATTCATGTTAGTATACAACTGACCCTGATCCTGAAAATAAAATATTATTTTTCCAAGAGACAGGAATTTTTTTATTTATAACCATTTTTAATGTAATTTAAGGTACTTATCGATTTTATGATACCAATTTAGCATTATACCACTTAAGATATAAGCGGATTAGGCAACAAAAAGCAACCAAATCGGTTAAGTTTTAACGAAATAGTTAAAAAAAGCACAAGTGTGCCAAGTCTTTTGCACAGCTAAATCTGCTAATTCTTTGGTTTTTAATTTAAAAAATTTAGTTTTAAGAGACAATTAATTGAAACAAAATTAAGTTGATGGTTAAATATTCCTCTTATACAAAATAATTTTGTTGAATTTTATAACACATTTATAAAGGTAGAAAAGCGCACTTGAAGTTCAAGATGCTAAGTGTGCCAACACTTAAGTTCGTCACTGTACATATGTATGTATAATATCTCCATTCTAACGGTATTCCTAAAGTAACCGAACCAAAATGTTATGCAGTGTTCGTCAAACAATTTTTTTTTGCCAGTTATCAACTATGATAGTTATTTTTTATAGAACTTTAGCTAAATGAATATTGTTACTATTAGTGTAACCCATATCAAATAAAAAAATATTTTTTTAACTTTTGGAGTACGAGTTTAGCATACTCATCTTTAGTTCCCAATCATTTTATTTTGGACACGAGCTTAGCACATTTTATAATAAAATTATAAATTTAAAAAATCATAATCATAAGTAACCTAAATAAGGGTCGAACTTAGACCTCTTTCCGGCATTGTATTTTTACATACATAAATATGCAAAATACGTATGCACATTCACAGCTCCATGCCATTTCAAACATATGTACATACATATGTGTGTATGAATTGTACGTTATTTAATCAGTAAAACATGCATTAGTCAAACGAAATAAGAAATACAATTAAACAATAGAGTTTATACAAATGAACGTAAGATTCTATGTAGTTTCTTGTCAGTCTCTGCAAGTAATCATACATAATCAACGACTAATGTATGTACATACATTGTATGTAAAACGTACTTCCTAAATTGTATTGTAAATTTTTACACAGCTACAAACATTGGCAATTCAGTAAATAATTCAACATTTCTAATTAAATTTGGTTTATATTACTTATGAAGGGTGCCACAACATTCGGTTAGCGCTAAATTCTGGTATAACTTAAAATGTACGTGAAGTCTAGCACACCCGTATATTTTTTTACACTTTAAACATTTTTTAATTTTGTTCACAATAAACAAATATTTAAGGTCAAATAACATTTATATTACAAAAGTTTGAAATCTACAACCTTTCACTATTTAACATAAGTTGAATACTCAAATGGAAATCATATGTTATATAAATAGCAGTTGGCATATATTCCAGTTATTTCGATTTATTTAAATTTTAAAAACAAGAGTTAATATGGCGGACCTGCAGATGGTTAACTACCAGCTGCTAAACAATATTAGGGAAATACACTGCATAAAGATCAGCAGTATACTTTAAGGTTGATATGGATTACTTACTTTATAACCTATTCCCAGAACGCAACAACTACCATTTTCTTATGCGGTTGTTCCACGGCATTGTTCTGTTCATTCATTAGAAGCTTAGAAAGGACAAATTTGTATAAATAAATTTACTGGGATTTGTTTGGATAACTCAAATTACTTTAGCTAGCTGATTTTAATGTTCGATGCTTTTAATATAAACTTTTAAATAGTTATAAAATTGTCGGCAATTATTTGCGTTTTTATTTTATTATACTAAACCAAGCTTGTACATTTTTTTAGTTTTATCATCTCCGGCAGTAACTTCTTCGAGATTTATTTATGAGTGCTATCATATAGTTTTGTCTTAATTTTAAGTGGTTGCGTTTATATTGATCGCAACGGACTACTTAAGACTCGAATATATTATTCTGTTGTTTTTATTCGTTTATAGCACTAAATTGGCAGCAAGAAGCTGGAAATAATAATTTTTTTACTTGGTTCTAATTTAACTACTGCCTAGTACTCACATCGACGAAAACCCCGAGCTAGCCATAGGAGTGAGCGAGAGGCAAACAGTCGGCTAAAGCTTTTCGTCTGGTCTGATTTTCAGCGCGGTACTCAGATAAGTTAAGAAAATATCAGAAAAAATACCAGATTTCGCGAGTGAATTTTCGATGAACGCCGTTAGCCGCGGCCCAAAGAATAAGAAATTTAATCTTTGGCGGTGGGGAACTTAAAAATTAAAAATGGAAGAAAAACACCAAAAACAGAAAGAAAAAAGGACGCCCAATCCAAGCTGTTGCCCATTATTGTGGGACTTGACCGACAGAAAGCAATATCACAACAAGGCAAATCCGCAGAATAGTTGAAGTGCTGGAGGAGACCCACTAGCGAATCCCAGTGGGAGGAAACATGGGACATCGCTCGATCTCCGACGAGCTCTCCATTGAGGAGTCCACCTCCACCAGCTACTTGGCAGCTAAAGCGGAGATGGAGGACCGCCGGCTTCTATAGGGAGGAGGAAATAAGGTCGCCCACTATGGGACATCTGGAGGAGCCATCACCAGCCATTACCAGGATGCTGGGCGACTTCATGCGGCTCCCACTTCCTCAAGGTCCAACATGCCTATTGGGACTTGGAGCTGGATTACAGATGGCCCCGGAAAAACGTCGAAGCATCCGTGGGACGAAAAGGAAGCCATAAACTTATAATTTACACAAAAAAAAAAATCGTTGAACATTTCATTTATTTTTATTTTAATTTATTTGTGCACCAGCAGACTTTTCTTTTTTAAATTGCTCCAGTTGATTTGTTTTCCGTTTGGCAACAACAAGCCGCTTGACGGTAAGACCATGCCACCTGCATTGCAGGTGAACTTTAAAAACTTCGGTCACACTACAAAGAATAAGATTCTTCTACTAGTGAAACTCGTAGCCGATCTGAGTTCTAGGCTATAAGAATTACACGGGCTAGGAAGAGATGGTAAGAAGTCATTACAACTCGCTTCAATTCAGTATTCGTTTCGGTATTTTTTTGGGAAGGAAAAGAATTTGAACTGCTATGGCGCAGCTATCAGGAAATTGTTGTTGGTGCTGGCCCAAGAAGCCTTCCAACGCCTCGAAACCCAGCAATCGATCTTATCTTGAAAATAAATATTTCTATGCTCTTTTTTAAGGAAATGAGCCACCTCCAGCTTGTGTTCTTCTTGAAAAAACCTAGCACCTGTTGCACCAAAATTTTTGTTATTCGTCTAAAGTAGAAGCCCTGTAAAGTCGCATTCACCTCCCAAAATTGTTGCTTTAAAAATGGATAAAGATAAAGGACCGTATACGAGGGAGGTGTTATAAATGCCCAAACGGTTCTAACTTGTGAAAATTCTCGTGCCGTTACTGTTGGCCCACAGTAGTCCCTATTCATTTCACTACGCTTGCCTGAATAGAAATCTCATCCTTGATCAATTTGCTAATAGCAATGAAATAATCATTTGGCGCTGAAAACATTCCAAATGCTACTGCTCAAATTGTATTTAGTTTGGTTTTTTCGCAGCAACTGAATTTGCTCGTCCTCGCGATTCTCTATGTGATCAGGAATCCGCTTAAATTTGCAACCTCGATTTTTGATCACGTGGGCATAAAGCGGATCCGGAAACCGCGCTGGCCTCTATAGGGAGGTGGAAAATTCCGCCCGCTAAGGAATAGCTGGAGGAGCCATTGCCAGGATGCTGCGTTACATCCTGCAGCATCAGCGGAATAACCAATCCGCCTCTCACTCCGTCAAAGCCAATGTGGGAATATTGGGAATCGTGGAAAGACTCTAGATGGCGAGTAGAAGGTGACAAAGAATTCGCGGGACGAGAATGAAGCTTTATGCTACCAATTTACATAAATGAAGACCTCCGTTGAACATTCGATTTATTTTTATTTAAACTTCCTTGTGCTTCCTGTCAACAAGCCCAGCTGCTTGACAGTAAAACCATGCTACTCGCTGACAATACCATCGTGGCAAGCTTAGTGCCGGAAGTCGGTTCTCGCTGTACTTCCATCTTGGTGGCAAGCGCGGTGCCAGTCCAGTGGCTGGTCTTCCTTCTAGGATAAGATTAGGATGGGAGGAAACTATCCTCCGTTGCTATCGGTCCTTAAGGCACGAAAACCCAATTTCTATACCGAAGTTTCGGCATTGCAGTAGTTGCAGTGAGGATGACAGAAAGACGACAAACACGCTGTCCTTATCTTTTATACCTGCGCGCCACGCTCACATCTGGCGACCATGCGTCGATCCTTAATTTAAGACCCTATGTAAATCCCTTCGCAGTTTAGCTACCTAAGTCCATACAATTGATATAAATAAACAGTTTCAGTCTAGAACTCAACGAATGTAGATGTCTTTTCATCTTCATTTGGTCAAGACATTTACAAAACCTTTTAGGACCAATTTTTTTTTTAAAAGAATTTTGTTTAAAAAATGTTTTTAATAACCGTTGAAATCTATTTCAACAAATTAACATATACGAATTACAAATACTAATTTTTTACAAAACTGTCAGTATATGTATCTTTATTGTTATTGTTTGTTTAAATATTATATGTTCATTTATTAAATAGATTTTATCGATATTTTCAAAAATTTAAAAGAAAAGTTTCATAACATTGAAACATTCACATCACATTGAAAACGTGATATTTTTTTTTTACAATTTCGTGACTGTAAGGCGTTTGTTAATTTCGTAGATAGTCGAAAAAAACTCGTTATTTTCAAAGTTTTTTTTTTTAGCTCACAATATACTAAAGACTAAATTGAGTCTACTCATCAATTCGACAAAATTAAAAAGTGACATTATAATTGTTAAATAAAACATATATCACCAAACTGGGCTAAGCGGAACTCGAGATATGATTATAAGCTCAGAGAAAACATAAATATAGCTTTGAAAAAATCGTAAAAAAAACCTATCCTTCAAAATTTTTTAGTTTTTTTTTAACCCAGGCGTCTAACTCTACCAACAACTATCCTCATCCTTCTTGGATCATTTTTAAAATATTATTTTGTAAAATGAAGTAATCAAAACAAAATTTCACTTTCACTCTTACGCAATCTTCAGAAGGACACGGCTAGTCCCGACAAAGTACTCTACAAGTAAGATAAGAAGATAATGTATAATGGAAGGACACTGGTGTCCTGTGGTATCCAACAGTGTGACCACTAAGTTTCTAGCCCGTTTCCTTTCTTCTAAATTAAGATTCTACACTATTTTCCGTCATCGCAACTTTCTACCCGATTTATGGCCATAGCTGACTGTTTGATCCAATTTGAGGCCACTGGGAACGCTCCATGTGCTCCTACCACAACGTTAACCACCTATAAAATCCGTCGTGATCATTTCAATTTCTTGTGACATATGCTTCGTTTGCGTTGTGGCTGCAGGCAAGAGAGCCGCAGACACCAAATCCATACTAAAATCCAAGGATTACCGCGCAGCTCATGGAACAAATCCACCAGGGCTCCTCCTAAATACCTCAAGCTACAGTAACTCCGGCTCGAAATTCCACGTCTTATGCAGTCGGTTCCCTCCTATCGACACAGAGGTTTTCTCGGGCGATTATTTTCGCTGGCTGACTACTCAGGACCTTTTTACGGCGAAATCCATAGAAAATCCAGATCACCACTCACCAATGATGGCTTTCGGAAAAAACCTGGAAAAACCTAACTGAGCGTTTCGAAAATAAGCAATTGAAGGTGAACAGTCACCTGAAATTGCCAAGATAGGCATCACACGTTGTTGCATCGAAACAGCGGTTCTGCCACTACGCCGATTCCATCCGACCCTTCAAGGCCTCAATACCACACACAATTTCGTTCTATTCAGCGCAAGTTCCCAGATCACATGATCTTTCCATGTTATCCGATCTCCTACGAATAATCCATCCGAATATTGGGTTTCATATCCCGCCTTGGACGGCAGACGTACTCGATGTATTAAGTCCTACCAATGCCGAGTCTGCCGAAAGTTCCATTGATCAAATTGATCATAGAACCATTTGTAATCTCTAAAATGCCAACTGAATCTTTTAACTATAACGCATGTTTATGTTACAAAGGCTGTGTATTGTACAGAATCATGGTGCATTGATATTTGGTGATCTCCGCTAGCCATGTCTAAACATGTCAAATAATTACCACCACAAAGTCGGCAATTGTCAGAAGCCGTTTTTGAGTTTAACTCTCTATAGTAGACTTAAATTCAATTTGAACCATTTTTCTTTTTCACACGTAATATAAAACTAGCACTAAACAGATGGGTCGAATAATGATACACTTTTCATGCTCATTGTTTGTTTCCTTTTCTACAAAACTTGCTCTATACGCTGAGTATTCATATTACACATATTATTTGGTATTCCAGATGCCACTCAAGTATTTACAGATTTAGTTTTTGTGATTTTAAGCTTATCAAATGAAAGTAAAACATTAAAACCTTTATTGAGAATTTGTCTTCCATTATTTCACCATTTTGCATTGCTTATCGTCTACAAAATTAAACAAAATTTCATGGACACTTTCATCTACAACAACAGTGCCTCAGATTAGCGATACCAAATACACTCGATACCAAATACCCTTTAATATGACAATATTATTGTCGAGAGCGAAACTGAATTGGTTTTACAGCAGCCCACACTACCAAATTGAAGGCACAGACGGATAGCGGTAAACTACGTTTTTGAAATAAACTTTATTTCAATTTCAGCTTCCGAATCAATGTGTATTACATTTGGCGTTGCGGAGCACGCTTAAAAACTTTGTCTTTTTTTCTCTTCTTTTGCTTCTCCCGGTTCTAGGGATGGTTCTTAAAAAGATAAATGAGGATAAATGAATTATCGAGTGCTTATACATAACATAAGAAAATAAAAAGTTACCATCTTCTAAGCCGACATCTAATACCGCAATCTTGGTGGCTGGTCGACCGAGGACCCCATGCTGCGCTTTAATAGTGGCTCGACGAACTTGTTCGTCCTTGGCGGGGATAGTGTTGGTCACGCCGCCCTTAAGCCATACATTTCTAGGTAAGTTTTCGTCGACGATAATGACTACGCTTCCGACTGATATAGGGGGACATCTTTCGAACCATTTTGTTCGTCTAGTAAGTACCGGTGTAAACTCCTTCACCCAGCGTTGCCAAAAGTGATCTCCAAAAAGTTTTACCTCGTTCCAATGACGTCTTAAATTCATCTTCTCTTCCTTGATTGGCTTGAACCCATTCGATGAACCCATTAGCAGGTGGTTTGGAGTCAGCGCGGAGTCGTCCTCGGAGTCCAGGCTAACGAAAGTTAACGGACGTGAGTTTATGATGAACTGTGCTTCCATTAGAGCACACCTCAGGCTTTCGTCGTTGAATGAATAATTCGGGCAGATGCTTTTTAGGACTGTTTTGATTGTGCGGACTAATCTTTTCCAAGCACCGCCCATGTGAGGGGCTCCTGGAGGGTTAAATTGCCATTTAATGCCGTCGAACTTGATTGCAATTTTATCGAAGTCGATCTTGATCAGCTCCTCTCGTAACGTCTTCTCCGTGGCCTTGAAATTAGTACTATTATCGGAATAAATTTCTCTTGGTGTCCCACGAAGTGCCATGAAATTCGTGATGACTCAGGAGCTTGTATCGAGGCTGTGAGCGATCTCGAAGTGGACTGCACGCAGGGTTAAGCAGGTAAACAGCGCAACCCATCTCTTCTCTTTGCGTCTTCCAACGTTGATAGGATAGGCCCAAAATAATCAACGCCGGTGGACGTGAATGGTTTTTCGAAACTGGTCAACCTAGCTTTTGGAACCGGGGCCATATGTGAGGCTGTGGCATTGCGCAACGAATTTTACATAACTGGCTTTTCTTACGGATTTGTGCAGTACTCTTGGCGCAGAATATAAAATTTGGATTTTATATCATTCGGTTTCGTGAGCGAGGTAATGATATTTTTCGTGATAGAACCGGACTAATAAGAATGTTACTCGGCTCTCTGGTGGCAATATTATAGCGTCCATGGTATATCCGACTGCGTTCACTCGACCTTTAGTGCGAACGATTCCGTTATCGTCCATCACCACCATTTACTCATCAATGAATGATTTCATCCGTGAACTCGAGCCTCTGTGCTTCTTTGTATAGTAGGGTCTGCGCTTCTGTGACGTGAAATTCGGTCACTGCTGACGGCATGTCTGTCCATTGGCATTTAGTTTGAAGTCGCTGGATATATAGAGATATGTTTGCGACGGCTCTGTATAGGCGCCGCCAATCGGGGTCGAAAATCGACATGAGAACCTGACGGACTTTTTGTCGCGCACGTAGTGGCCTATGAATGGTGCACAACTGATACCAAGGGTCATGGCACGCATGACGTAAGTGTTTATCTTATTTCGGTTGACATCATACCAAAGAAAGCGCTGAGAATGCATGTCTTCGTGGCTTATGTTGATCCTGTGAAACATTTCGGCGATGTCGCCGCTTACGGCGACTGTTCCGACTCTGAAGGCTGGGAGAACGTTGATGAGTGAGTTTAAGCAGTCCGGCCCGCTTAACAGAAAGTCGTTGAGGCATACTACGTTTGTTTCTACTACTGCATCCCAAACCAGCCTTATCTTTCCAGGCTTATTCGGATTTAGGACTATAAATTTGGGAAAGTACCAAGAGCGAGTTTCTTCTTTCTTCGCCTCCTCGTCAGATAGTTGCTTGGGGTATCCTTTGGCAAAAAGATTTTTGATTTGGTCGTCGATTTTTGTAAACAGATCCGGTTCGCTCAGAATTCTGGTTCTCATGCATTGTAGGCGCTTTAGAGCTCTAGTGCGACTCTCGGGAAGTTTTTGAAGATCATTCCGCCGAAGAAGACCAACTTCGTATTTGCCACATTTGATTTGGCAAGTCTGCTCTAGGACTTCGACTGCTCGTTTGTCCTCGCTTGAAAGCAGTTTTTTAGGCGAAATCGACTCTAGGTTGAATTGTTCTTTGACTTCATCGTGAAGCTCTCGCCAGTTGCAATCGCAGTGGTGCATAGTTACGTGACGGTTTGAGTTGGCTGATCCCTGGATAGTCCATCCTAACATGCACTTTGACTTTGCCTTCATCCATACCGACGATTTGCTTTGGGAGTGCAATGTTTTTGACAGTCTGAACGTTGTTGTAACTGAGTAGATCTGAGGGTTGTTATTATCCTATTTATTATTCATGTTAGTATACAACTGACCCTGATCCTGAAAATAAAATATTATTTTTCCAAGAGACAGGAATTTTTTTATTTATAACCATTTTTAATGTAATTTAAGGTACTTATCGATTTTATGATACCAATTTAGCATTATACCACTTAAGATATAAGCGGATTAGGCAACAAAAAGCAACCAAATCGGTTAAGTTTTAACGAAATAGTTAAAAAAAGCACAAGTGTGCCAAGTCTTTTGCACAGCTAAATCTGCTAATTCTTTGGTTTTTAATTTAAAAAATTTAGTTTTAAGAGACAATTAATTGAAACAAAATTAAGTTGATGGTTAAATATTCCTCTTATACAAAATAATTTTGTTGAATTTTATAACACATTTATAAAGGTAGAAAAGCGCACTTGAAGTTCAAGATGCTAAGTGTGCCAACACTTAAGTTCGTCACTGTACATATGTATGTATAATATCTCCATTCTAACGGTATTCCTAAAGTAACCGAACCAAAATGTTATGCAGTGTTCGTCAAACAATTTTTTTTTGCCAGTTATCAACTATGATAGTTATTTTTTATAGAACTTTAGCTAAATGAATATTGTTACTATTAGTGTAAGCCATATCAAATAAAAAAATATTTTTTTAACTTTTGGAGTACGAGTTTAGCATACTCATCTTTAGTTCCCAATCATTTTATTTTGGACACGAGCTTAGCACATTTTATAATAAAATTATAAATTTAAAAAATCATAATCATAAGTAACCTAAATAAGGGTCGAACTTAGACCTCTTTCCGGCATTGTATTTTTACATACATAAATATGCAAAATACGTATGCACATTCACAGCTCCATGCCATTTCAAACATATGTACATACATATGTGTGTATGAATTGTACGTTATTTAATCAGTAAAACATGCATTAGTCAAACGAAATAAGAAATACAATTAAACAATAGAGTTTATACAAATGAACGTAAGATTCTATGTAGTTTCTTGTCAGTCTCTGCAAGTAATCATACATAATCAACGACTAATGTATGTACATACATTGTATGTAAAACGTACTTCCTAAATTGTATTGTAAATTTTTACACAGCTACAAACATTGGCAATTCAGTAAATAATTCAACATTTCTAATTAAATTTGGTTTATATTACTTATGAAGGGTGCCACAACATTCGGTTAGCGCTAAATTCTGGTATAACTTAAAATGTACGTGAAGTCTAGCACACCCGTATATTTTTTTACACTTTAAACATTTTTTAATTTTGTTCACAATAAACAAATATTTAAGGTCAAATAACATTTATATTACAAAAGTTTGAAATCTACAACCTTTCACTATTTAACATAAGTTGAATACTCAAATGGAAATCATATGTTATATAAATAGCAGTTGGCATATATTCCAGTTATTTCGATTTATTTAAATTTTAAAAACAAGAGTTAATATGGCGGACCTGCAGATGGTTAACTACCAGCTGCTAAACAATATTAGGGAAATACACTGCATAAAGATCAGCAGTATACTTTAAGGTTGATATGGATTACTTACTTTATAACCTATTCCCAGAACGCAACAACTACCATTTTCTTATGCGGTTGTTCCACGGCATTGTTCTGTTCATTCATTAGAAGCTTAGAAAGGACAAATTTGTATAAATAAATTTACTGGGATTTGTTTGGATAACTCAAATTACTTTAGCTAGCTGATTTTAATGTTCGATGCTTTTAATATAAACTTTTAAATAGTTATAAAATTGTCGGCAATTATTTGCGTTTTTATTTTATTATACTAAACCAAGCTTGTACATTTTTTTAGTTTTATCATCTCCGGCAGTAACTTCTTCGAGATTTATTTATGAGTGCTATCATATAGTTTTGTCTTAATTTTAAGTGGTTGCGTTTATATTGATCGCAACGGACTACTTAAGACTCGAATATATTATTCTGTTGTTTTTATTCGTTTATAGCACTAAATTGGCAGCAAGAAGCTGGAAATAATAATTTTTTTACTTGGTTCTAATTTAACTACTGCCTAGTACTCACATCGACGAAAACCCCGAGCTAGCCATAGGAGTGAGCGAGAGGCAAACAGTCGGCTAAAGCTTTTCGTCTGGTCTGATTTTCAGCGCGGTACTCAGATAAGTTAAGAAAATATCAGAAAAAATACCAGATTTCGCGAGTGAATTTTCGATGAACGCCGTTAGCCGCGGCCCAAAGAATAAGAAATTTAATCTTTGGCGGTGGGGAACTTAAAAATTAAAAATGGAAGAAAAACACCAAAAACAGAAAGAAAAAAGGACGCCCAATCCAAGCTGTTGCCCATTATTGTGGGACTTGACCGACAGAAAGCAATATCACAACAAGGCAAATCCGCAGAATAGTTGAAGTGCTGGAGGAGACCCACTAGCGAATCCCAGTGGGAGGAAACATGGGACATCGCTCGATCTCCGACGAGCTCTCCATTGAGGAGTCCACCTCCACCAGCTACTTGGCAGCTAAAGCGGAGATGGAGGACCGCCGGCTTCTATAGGGAGGAGGAAATAAGGTCGCCCACTATGGGACATCTGGAGGAGCCATCACCAGCCATTACCAGGATGCTGGGCGACTTCATGCGGCTCCCACTTCCTCAAGGTCCAACATGCCTATTGGGACTTGGAGCTGGATTACAGATGGCCCCGGAAAAACGTCGAAGCATCCGTGGGACGAAAAGGAAGCCATAAACTTATAATTTACACAAAAAAAAAAATCGTTGAACATTTCATTTATTTTTATTTTAATTTATTTGTGCACCAGCAGACTTTTCTTTTTTAAATTGCTCCAGTTGATTTGTTTTCCGTTTGGCAACAACAAGCCGCTTGACGGTAAGACCATGCCACCTGCATTGCAGGTGAACTTTAAAAACTTCGGTCACACTACAAAGAATAAGATTCTTCTACTAGTGAAACTCGTAGCCGATCTGAGTTCTAGGCTATAAGAATTACACGGGCTAGGAAGAGATGGTAAGAAGTCATTACAACTCGCTTCAATTCAGTATTCGTTTCGGTATTTTTTTGGGAAGGAAAAGAATTTGAACTGCTATGGCGCAGCTATCAGGAAATTGTTGTTGGTGCTGGCCCAAGAAGCCTTCCAACGCCTCGAAACCCAGCAATCGATCTTATCTTGAAAATAAATATTTCTATGCTCTTTTTTAAGGAAATGAGCCACCTCCAGCTTGTGTTCATCTTGAAAAAACCTAGCACCTGTTCCACCAAAATTTTTGTTATTCGTCTAAAGTAGAAGCCCTGTGAAGTCGCATTCACCTCCCAAAATTGGTGCTTTAAAAATGGATAAAGATAAAGGACCGTATACGAGGGAGGTGTTATAAATGCCCAAACGGTTCTAACTTGTGAAAATTCTCGTGCCGTTACTGTTGGCCCACAGTAGTCCCTATTCATTTCACTACGCTTGCCTGAATAGAAATCTCATCCTTGATCAATTTGCTAATAGCAATGAAATAATCATTTGGCGCTGAAAACATTCCAAATGCTACCATTGCCGGATGCTGCGTTACATCCTGCAGCATCAGCGGAATAACCAATCCGCCTCTCACTCCGTCAAAGCCAATGTGGGAATATTGGGAATCGTGGAAAGACTCTAGATGGCGAGCAGAAGGTGACAAAGAATTCGCGGGACGAGAATGAAGCTTTAAGCTACCAATTTACATAAATGAAGACCTCCGTTGAACATTCGATTTATTTTTATTTAAACTTCCTTGTGCTTCCTGTCAACAAGCCCAGCTGCTTGACAGTAAGACCATGCTACTCGCCGACAATACCATCGTGGCAAGCTTAGTGCCGAAAGTCGGTTCTCGCTGTACTTCCATCTTGGTGGCAAGCGCGGTGCCAGTCCAGTGGCTGGTCTTCCTTCTAGGATAAGATTAGGATGGGAGGAAACTATCCTCCGTTGCTATCGGTCCTTAAGGCACGAAAACCCAATTTCTATACCGAAGTTTCGGCATTGCAGTAGTTGCAGTGAGTATGACAGAAAGACGACAAACACGCTGTTCTTATCTTTTATACCTGCGCGCCACGCTCACATCTGGCGACCATGCGTCGATCCTTAATTTAAGACCCTATGTAAATCCCTTCGCAGTTTAGCTACCTAAGTCCATACAATTGATATAAATAAACAGTTTCAGTCTAGAACTCAACGAATGTAGATGTCTTGTCATCAAGACATTTACAAAACCTTTTAGGGACAACTTTTTTTTAAAAGAATTTTGTTTAAAAAAGGTTTCTAATAACCGATGAAATCTATTTCAGCAAATGAACATATACGAATTACAAATACTAATTTTTTACAAAACTGTCAGTATATGTATTTTTTATTATTATTGTTTGTTTAAATATTATATGTTCATTTATTAAATAGATTTTATCGATATTTTCAAAAATTTAAAAGAAAAGTTTCATAACATTGAAACATTCACATCACATTGAAAACGTGATATTTTTTTTTTACAATTTCGTGACTGTAAGGCGTTTGTTAATTTCGTAGATAGTCGAAAAAAACTCGTTATTTTCAAAGTTTTTTTTTTTAGCTCACAATATACTAAAGACTAAATTGAGTCTACTCATCAATTCGACAAAATTAAAAAGTGACATTATAATTGTTAAATAAAACATATATCACCAAACTGGGCTAAGCGGAACTCGAGATATGATTATAAGCTCAGAGAAAACATAAATATAGCTTTGAAAAAATCGTAAAAAAAACCTATCCTTCAAAATTTTTTAGTTTTTTTTTAACCCAGGCGTCTAACTCTACCAACAACTATCCTCATCCTTCTTGGATCATTTTTAAAATATTATTTTGTAAAATGAAGTAATCAAAACAAAATTTCACTTTCACTCTTACGCAATCTTCAGAAGGACACGGCTAGTCCCGACAAAGTACTCTACAAGTAAGATAAGAAGATAATGTATAATGGAAGGACACTGGTGTCCTGTGGTATCCAACAGTGTGACCACTAAGTTTCTAGCCCGTTTCCTTTCTTCTAAATTAAGATTCTACACTATTTTCCGTCATCGCAACTTTCTACCCGATTTATGGCCATAGCTGACTGTTTGATCCAATTTGAGGCCACTGGGAACGCTCCATGTGCTCCTACCACAACGTTAACCACCTATAAAATCCGTCGTGATCATTTCAATTTCTTGTGACATATGCTTCGTTTGCGTTGTGGCTGCAGGCAAGAGAGCCGCAGACACCAAATCCATACTAAAATCCAAGGATTACCGCGCAGCTCATGGAACAAATCCACCAGGGCTCCTCCTAAATACCTCAAGCTACAGTAACTCCGGCTCGAAATTCCACGTCTTATGCAGTCGGTTCCCTCCTATCGACACAGAGGTTTTCTCGGGCGATTATTTTCGCTGGCTGACTACTCAGGACCTTTTTACGGCGAAATCCATAGAAAATCCAGATCACCACTCACCAATGATGGCTTTCGGAAAAAACCTGGAAAAACCTAACTGAGCGTTTCGAAAATAAGCAATTGAAGGTGAACAGTCACCTGAAATTGCCAAGATAGGCATCACACGTTGTTGCATCGAAACAGCGGTTCTGCCACTACGCCGATTCCATCCGACCCTTCAAGGCCTCAATACCACACACAATTTCGTTCTATTCAGCGCAAGTTCCCAGATCACATGATCTTTCCATGTTATCCGATCTCCTACGAATAATCCATCCGAATATTGGGTTTCATATCCCGCCTTGGACGGCAGACGTACTCGATGTATTAAGTCCTACCAATGCCGAGTCTGCCGAAAGTTCCATTGATCAAATTGATCATAGAACCATTTGTAATCTCTAAAATGCCAACTGAATCTTTTAACTATAACGCATGTTTATGTTACAAAGGCTGTGTATTGTACAGAATCATGGTGCATTGATATTTGGTGATCTCCGCTAGCCATGTCTAAACATGTCAAATAATTACCACCACAAAGTCGGCAATTGTCAGAAGCCGTTTTTGAGTTTAACTCTCTATAGTAGACTTAAATTCAATTTGAACCATTTTTCTTTTTCACACGTAATATAAAACTAGCACTAAACAGATGGGTCGAATAATGATACACTTTTCATGCTCATTGTTTGTTTCCTTTTCTACAAAACTTGCTCTATACGCTGAGTATTCATATTACACATATTATTTGGTATTCCAGATGCCACTCAAGTATTTAGAGATTTAGTTTTTGTGATTTTAAGCTTATCAAATGAAAGTAAAACATTAAAACCTTTATTGAGAATTTGTCTTCCATTATTTCACCATTTTGCATTGCTTATCGTCTACAAAATTAAACAAAATTTCATGGACACTTTCATCTACAACAACAGTGCCTCAGATTAGCGATACCAAATACACTCGATACCAAATACTCTTTAATATGACAATATTATTGTCGAGAGCGAAACTGAATTGGTTTTACAGCAGCCCACACTACCAAATTGAAGGCACAGACGGATAGCGGTAAACTACGTTTTTGAAATAAACTTTATTTCAATTTCAGCTTCCGAATCAATGTGTATTACATTTGGCGTTGCGGAGCACGCTTAAAAACTTTGTCTTTTTTTCTCTTCTTTTGCTTCTCCCGGTTCTAGGGATGGTTCTTAAAAAGATAAATGAGGATAAATGAATTATCGAGTGCTTATACATAACATAAGAAAATAAAAAGTTACCATCTTCTAAGCCGACATCTAATACCGCAATCATGGTGGCTGGTCGATCGAGGACCCCATGCTGCGTTTTAATAGTGGCTCGACGAACTTGTTCGTCCTTGGCGGGGATAGTGTTGGTCACGCGGCCCTTAAGCCATACATTTCTAGGTAAGTTTTCGTCGACGATAATGACTACGCTTCCGACTGATATAGGGGGACATCTTTCGAACCATTTTGTTCGTCTAGTAAGTACCGGTGTAAACTCCTTCACCCAGCGTTGCCAAAAGTGATCTCCAAAAAGTTTTATATCGTTCCAATGACGTCTTAAATTCATCTTCTTTTCCTTGATTGGCTTGTACCCATTCGATGAACCCATTAGCAGGTGGTTTGGAGTCAGCGCGGAGTCGTCCTCGGAGTCCAGGCTAACGAAAGTTAACGGACGTGAGTTTATGATTAACCGTGCTTCCATTAGAGCACACCTCAGGCTTTCGTCGTTGAATGAATAATTCGGGCAGATGCTTTTTAGGACTGTTTTGGTTGTGCGGACTAATCTTTTCCAAGCACCGCCCATGTGAGGGGCTCCTGGAGGGTTAAATTGCCATTTAATGCCGTCGAACTTGATTGCAATTTTATCGAAGTCGATCTTGATCAGCTCCTCTCGTAACGTCTTCTCCGTGGCCTTGAAATTAGTACCATTATCGGAATAAATTTCTCTTGGTGTCCCACGAAATTCGTGAAACTTTTTTTACACAACTGGCTTTTCTTACGGATTTGTGCAGTACTCTTAGGCGCAGAATATAAAATTTGGATTTTATATCATTCGGTTTCGTGAGCGAGGTAATGATATTTTTCGTGATAGAACCGGACTAATAAGAATGTTACTCGGCTCTCTGGTGGCAATATTATAGCGTCCATGGTATATCCGACTGCGTTCACTCGACCTTTAGTGCGAACGATTCCGTTATCGTCCATCACCACCATTTACTCATCAATGAATGATTTCATCCGTGAACTCGAGCCTCTGTGCTTCTTTGTATAGTAGGGTCTGCGCTTCTGTGACGTGAAATTCGGTCACTGCTGACGGCATGTCTGTCCATTGGCATTTAGTTTGAAGTCGCTGGATATATAGAGATATGTTTGCGACGGCTCTGTATAGGCGCCGCCAATCGGGGTCGAAAATCGACATGAGAACCTGACGGACTTTTTTTTTCGTTGGGACTGCAGGATCGGTAAGGACGTCTCGCTTAAGTCTTGAGAATCTGCAAACAAACTTAAATACGTCTTTATGTGGGTCCCAATACATACCCAAAACCTTTTCTGTAGCGCCGAAATGCACTGGATCCTGTTTTTTGGCGTCTCCATCGTTCTTAAGATACGAGAGAACTGTACTGGAATTTGACGCCCAGTTTCGAATTTCGAATCCGCCTCTGGAATGGACCTCTTTACTTGGCTGGATATTTAATGGCTTTCTGTTTATTACTCATACTGTCGATGAAGTCGGCGACATAGTGCGCACGCTGAATCGCATCCAAGGCTAACGAAAATTGCTGCTGGTGGACTTCTGCATTTTTGTCGCGCACGTAGTGGCCTATGAATGGTGCACAACTGATACCAAGGGTCATGGCACGCATGACGTAAGTGTTTATCTTATTTCGGTTGACATCATACCAAAGAAAGCGCTGAGAATGCATGTCTTCGTGGCTTATGTTGATCCTGTGAAACATTTCGGCGATGTCGCCGCTTACGGCGACTGTTCCGACTCTGAAGGCTGGGAGAACGTTGATGAGTGAGTTTAAGCAGTCCGGCCCGCTTAACAGAAAGTCGTTGAGGCATACTACGTTTGTTTCTACTACTGCATCCCAAACCAGCCTTATCTTTCCAGGCTTATTCGGATTTAGGACTATAAATTTGGGAAAGTACCAAGTGCGAGTTTCTTCTTTCTTCGCCTCCTCGTCAGATAGTTGCTTGGGGTATCCTTTGGCAAGAAGATTTTTGATTTGGTCGTCGATTTTTGTAAACAGATCCGTTTCGCTCAGAATTCTGGTTCTCATGCATTGTAGGCGCTTTAGAGCTCTAGTGCGACTCTCGGGAAGTTTTTGAAGATCATTCCGCCGAAGAAGATCAACCTTGTATTTGCCACATTTGATTTGGCAAGTCTGCTCTAGGACTACGACTGCTCGTTTGTCCTCGCTTGAAAGCAGTTTTTTAGGCGAAATCGACTCTAGGTTGAATTGTTCTTTGACTTCATCGTGAAGCTCTCGCCAGTTGCAATCGCAGTGGTGCATAGATACGTGACGGTTTGAGTTTGCTGATCCCTGGATAGTCCATCCTAACATGCACTTTGACGCTATTGGGTCGTTCCATTTGCCTTCATCCATACCGACGGTTTGCTTTGGGAGTGCAATGTTTTTGACAGTCTGAACGTTGTTGAGCCAGTAACGTTTTTCTGAGCTAACGCCTGAGGCTTGGATTGATGCTCGCACTGAAGTATTTTCAAACCGAGCTGTTTCTCCAGTCCATTGTAAACAAATCGGTGGTGTACCTATAATACCGAGCTTGTCAAAAATTGCTGCGTCTATTAGGGTCACAGATGATCCTTCATCCAGGAAAGCGAAAACTTCGATTTTTTGTCATTATAGTGTAGAGTTACTGGTACGATTCGAAAGAACTGGTTTCCTTCTACATCGCCTTGGTGTGTGCTTACATGTCTTTGATTTCCCGTTTTTTTGGCTAAATTGGGAACATTTTCCGAGTGGAGTAGAGGGTACTGCTTTCTTGTAAAACGGTTTACTCCGCAATCCTTTGGTCGACAATTGTTTTGATGAAGCTTCAAGCATCGATTATGGGTATTCACAGAACTTGTCCTGTGAGAAAACGGTGTCACGACAGTCGACGCCGCCTGCGCTATTTTGTAAAGCCAGTCGCTGAAAGCTTTAATGGGAGGGACCGATTCGTCGCGGGTGTGCATCGCCCAATTTAGTTTGTGGCTACTTGGAAGATTGTCTACAAGCTCCTTGACTAACATTGGGTTGTTTAAGTGCGCTGTTAGGCTGCATGCTCCGATCGTTGCGCAAATGTTGCGTACTGCGAGCGCGTACTCTATTATGAATTCCAATTTTTCTTTGGGTGGCGCAAGCTTCCTCACCTTGTCGATCATCCTCTCCACGATGTGCTCAGGTCTGCCGAAGAACATTTTTAGCGTGCTCATTACTTCCGGAACTAGGCTAGGAAGTAGAAGCTTATCCTTCACCATTTCTCGTCCCCTGCCTTTTAGGCACTTTTGTAGACGGGGCATGTTTTCAACATTGGAGAACCCTGCTGCGAAAGTACTGTGCTCGAATGTACTGATAAACATTGGCCACTCCTCAGGATCCCCGCTGAACGAAGGAAGCTCCTTGGGTATAGCTTGTCTAGCGGCGATTTGGGAGTAGAGTATTTATTTAGAGTATTCATTTGCAGTAAAATTGTATACTTCTCGATAAATCTTTGCTCGGAAGCTCTTTTTTCTTCCAGCATATCGAGCATTAGCCACGCGTGTACAAAGTTCTTAAGAATGTTGAGAGCGAAACTGAATTGGTTTTATACCAGCCCACACTACCAAATTGAAAACACAGACGGATAGCGGTAAACTACGTTTTTGAAATAAACTTTATTTAAATTTCAGCTTCCGAATCAATGTGTATTACATTTGGCACGCTTAAAAACTTTGTCTTTTTTCTTCTCTTCTTTCGCTTCTCCTGGTTCTAGGGATGGATCATAAAAAGATAAATGAGGTCGATATTTCTTATATCTGTACCTCGAGAAATATCTAGTGCTTATACATAACGTAAGAAATTAAAAACTAAATTTAAATTAGGCGGCAAATATTAATAATGCGTTTCCCAGACAACTTTTTTCCAACACTCTCCCTGATGAATGAGCACTCCGCCCCGGAGCCAAAACAAATTGGAAAAGTCATACCTCGAACCATACTTCGTTTACGTTCTGCCACAAGGCACTAAATGACACCCTTTTGTTGCAAAGCTCCTGGTTTATTCACACTCTCCACTCTAGTAACAGGCACCTCCTCTCTCGGCGACTCATTTTTCTTTTTGATTTTGTGGCCCGGCTTCTTACAATAATGACACACCAGTACAGACTGCTTCGTTCGCTTAAAATCAGTTTCCGAGTTTTCCAACGTAAATGTCATTAAATCTTACAAAAGCTTATTCCGGGTATAGACGATTGAAGTGAAACTCAGTCTTTGCAGACGACTGTCAAAGCTTAACATGTGTGCAAGCAAAGCGGATACAGCAAACTGTTTGGTGTTCGAGGAGACTAGCGCAGACTGCAAGGCTTTCGTCGACAAAAGGGCGACTGTTAAAGAAATTGAACACAATGGGGCCGGTGTCTCATCCGCCTCAAATCGGTGCTTGAACACCTCCTTGAAATGCTTTCACTCAAGGCCGGCGTAAAATAGTTGGGTAATCCACTGCGAGGCAATTACTAAGAGCCATAATTAGCCCACTGCCAGTTTACGGATTCTCCGATAAAATTATGTCTACAGTCACAACCCTTTGCGAGGTGTCAGCACCAGATGCAGTTGTGTAGTCGATGGCTGCATACCTTTAGCTAGCTCTATATCTAGGCGCCACTGACCCCCGGATATAGGAGGAGTTGGTAAAAATACCACTTCTGTTCCATCTGTTTTTCTTTTGCCAAAATTGGTTTTAAAATGTGCTGTTCATAATCTTAAGGCTGCAGGTATGCCTTCATACTTCATACAATTGGAAATTTAGTCTCCTTAACAAAGACCCCAATTTTTTTTCTATTTCGCTATGTTCCTTGTAACGTGTATATACGCATTTGAACTGACGGGGGACTTGAGATTGGTTTACATACAAATTTTTTAAAGTGCCCACAGATATATTTTAACTAAAAAATATTTCATTCGAAAACCTTAAACAGCTTTAATAAATTTCCTTCAAAGCGCAAAACAAATTTCAAATTTCAAACTAATTTTTTTTTATTCTCAACTTGAAATTGCTTTCCCTTGTTTATAACTGTTTAAGCAAATAGTTTCACGGCTTTCACCACACCCGTTTCAAACATTCAAGTAGAATTCCAATAAAAGCAAGAATACTGAAAACAAGATATGCGTGCAAGTTATGTGACACATTATTTAGGGGTTTTTACCCAATATATAAACAACTTTGAGCCAAGAGCTAATTTTCAAATAACTCCTACTGACTCCGAGATAAATCCGTGGTCACCCGATTCTTTTAACTTCGCCTTTAAATTACTCCCACCCAGATCAGTTTCACACATTCAACATAAAACGGATACTGTAAACACCCAAGCCGATATTGTGAGCACCAAAGCCCCACAAACAACAATTTCCGCCAGAGTTTCAAGTTTAATTGACAAAATTGTATCATCCTATTTTCCGATTCTCTTCAGACATTCTCTTAATCAGATATTGAGATAACTTTCTTAAGCCGAGGCTTCGCAGCCCGTTTTTGACAATCAAATTAAAAAGTTCAAATAAGTGAATAGAAAAGTAAAAGTGAATTAATATAAAGTTTGACTTTGAACAATGAAATAGTTAATAAGTGAAGTAAAGAACAAAATTAATTTGTTTAACAAATTCACTGACGAGAAACTTAATTGCGCACAACGAGGCTTTATGATGAAATTCAAATAATTTTAAAGTGAAAAAGAAATTAGTGCGGTCAAAAACCTGATACAACGACAAAATTAAAAATGTTAGTTTTAATCAAAAAACTAAGGTGGAAAATAATTAATGCAATAATCCCCTTAAATCTCCAAATTCAAAAAAAAAATGATCGTAACGAAAAATGCACTGCTCCAACACAATTTAAAACAAAAATTAATTCAAACATTAAAACGAAATAAACATTTTAAATCAAAAACGGACTGAAGGGCAATCCCTTGGCACTGAAAAACACTTACGAAGAAGGAAGACTCAAATACTACAAATTTAACAAGGAAAAACGCTATAGTCGAGTGGCTCGACTATCAGATACCTGTTACTCAGCTAATGGGATCAAAGGGTTATGGATATATGCAAGCAGCAAAGCGAGATTGAAATACGCCACCTACCCGTGATCTCAATATGTGGTTATGTGGGCGGTAGACAGATTTAAGGCGTGGCAAACTATTGACGAGACCAATATATTTCAGTTAAAATTTTGTGTTTA